GAGCTTGGTTGCTTTCTTGCAGATGTTTCATTACCAAACTAGGCCATCAGACTAACATCCTAGATCCCATCGTACCTTCTCTCATTGTCATCAAGGTGAGCGAAGAGGACATTCTTGGAGATGGCCTTGGCTAAGGCTGTCATAGTCTTATAGTCCTTTGGAATAACCTGGAATGGAAAAGGAGCAGCAGAAGGGAGAGTTAGGAGTGAGCAGAACCCCAGATGATTACTAAGAGATCAGCCAGGGCTCCTGTGCTAATCATTGTAGGAGGAGGGCCATGTTCACCTATGGCAGCCGGAAATCAAAAGGACTCTTCGTCTTTTCTGACGAAGACATTTTATTCAGAGTTTTGGATTTAGACTAATTAAAGAAAAGCCGTCACAAAGCAACTCCATCATTCCAGACCTTAGTTAAGCTTCCAGAAGTGGCTTTGAGAGAAGCTGTGGGAATTATGAAATTGCTTAATCTAAAATAAAAGCCAACGGTGCTTCGAGCGTCAAACATTGTCTAGAAAATGCTAAATTCACTTATCAGGATTTCTTTCTACCTGAATTAAATCAACGGGTCAGGCCAGAAGCAAATCAGAATTATCTTGTAAGGAGCGTCTAATGGGAATGGTTTTTTGTTTTTGTTTTTTCAAGGCTGAATAGCAAATAATTCAGCATCTGGCAGAACTTTATAAAATATTATTTCTTCAAATGCATCTTGAGCAGCAGGACACATTAATTATTGAACTTGGTTCTGAAGGTTGGGCGGTTGCCAGGTTTAACTTCGCTGAAATGCTGGGACGGAATATAGATTTGATTTGATTTGATTTGATATTAAGAATCAGGAATGAACATCATAGAGTCATTTTTTTTTGGATCTGACCAAGCTTTCTTGGGGCAGACGTTCTGAAGAAAATTGATACAAATCTCAGCCCACTACTCAAAGGCTAAGGGGGGGGGTCCTCATTCCGTAATAAAATTCTGCTTTCCTAGAAGCCTGTCTTTTGAGGTATGAATGTGCCTTTGAGGCAATTCTGGACTCCTGGAGAAGACCCTGCAGTTTTCTTGGCAAGGTTTTTTCAGGAGCGGCTTTCCATTGCCTCCTTCTTAGGACAGAGAGAGAAGGACTGGCTCAAGGTCATCCAGCTGACTTTATGCCTAAAGAGGGACTAGAACTCACCATCTCCTGGTGACTGACCCAAAGTCACCCACTGGCTTTCAGGCCTAAGGCAGAACTAGAATTCACCATCTCTTGGTGTTGGCTCAAAGTCACCCAGTGGCTTTCCTGCCTAAGGCAGAACTAGAATTCACCGTCTCCTGGGTGATTGGCCCAAAGTCACCCAGTGGCTTTCCTGCCTAAGGCAGAACTAGAATTCACCGTCTCCTGGGTGATTGGCCCAAAGTCACCCAGTGGCTTTCCTGCCTAAGGCAGAACTAGAATTCACCGTCTCCTGGGTGATTGGCCCAAAGTCACCCAGTGGCTTTCCTGCCTAAGGCAGAACTAGAATTCACCGTCTCCTGGTGATTGGC